AAAGTAGAGGATGAAAATAAAAGTTTTAGAAGTATGAGATTTTTACTAGATATTTCATTTGCGCTAACAATTGCAATATATTTAAGACAAATATTCTATATAATTTTCTGGACTTCCTCTAAAAGAACAGGCTTTCTGCCAACAGGATTCCAAACATCGACGCCCGCAGTCATCGTCAGACAAAAAGAACCTGTTGCGGAGCGGGCACGTTCCGAGCCGAACGCGGAAAGTTGTCGGCACGCCGTGGTAGTGCCCCGGGGCGCCGTGCCTGTTCTGCCCGCCTTCGCACGCTTGTGCTTCGCTGGAGACGCGTAGGCGTCCCAGTGGAGCAGCTGCCAGGATGCGAGTCCAGCGACGTCATTGGTGACTGAGGGGACGGCAGAGGCGGCGATGGCGGTGAGCAGCGAGGGCGGGCCCGGGGGGCCTTGCGGGTTGGGGCCTGGCTGGGCCTGGGCCTGGGCCCGGAGGGGGCTGGCGGGGCGTGCGGGCGGCGGGGGGCGGGGGCGCCGCGCGCCGAGGGCTCCCGAGCCGCCGCGCGAGTCCTCCGCGGCCGCTGCCTCGCCGGACGTCCTCCTTCGCTGGCTGGCTGGTTCGTCCGGCGTGCCAAGCACCGGCCTCCGCCTGCCCTATTCTCCGCCGCCGCCACCCGCCTCCCGCTCCGCCGCCGCTGGCGGACGAGACAACGCACGCTCGGCTGACTCGCGCGCCTTCTTCCTTCGCGGATCGGGGAGCCAGTGAGGGAACGTGCGGGTGCGGTGCGGGGAGGGGGGCGTTTACAGCGTCCGCTCCGGACGAGGGCGGAGGGCGGTCGGAGAGAAGGCGTGCATCCGGGTGAGGCCTAGCGTCTGGCAGGGCTCGGGCGCTCACTGTGTGCGCGGCATACCTCTCTCTCTCTGTCTCTCTCTCTCTGTCTCTCTCTCTCTGTCTCTCTCTCTCTGTCTCTGTCTGTCTCTGTGTCTGTATGTCTGTCTCCAATATGCTATATTTCAGATTAATGTACTGAGAATTTTAGTTAAAACAGAAAATCAAACAATTGATTTTTTGTTTGATTTATATATTTAGAACTTGGTTGAAGTAGAATAAGTTACTGAATAAATTGTAATACAAAGAATAAAGAAAAGGCCTCGAAAGTATAGATATTATAAATTTACGTTAGTCTGTACTTTAATTCATTGGTTTGTAAACTTACAATTTTGTGCAGATTGCGTATACACATAGTAAGATATCTTTTCTGAAGAACTTCATTGATTTACATTTATACATTCTGAACTTTCGGGATGTATCCAGTATACAGTCCATTTCTAGTTTTATTGAACAGGTACAGAATCTGCTCAGATAATCAGATTTGCTGGGACTTTAAATAATGTTAAAGGTTTTACTAGAATACTTGCCACTGAATTTGACAAAATAAAATTCCGTAATGAAAGGACAGGGCACTTATAGACTAAGTGATAATTTTTTACACTTCAGTGGCTTTGACTTAATGCAAATAAATAGTTTAAAATTCTGGTTTTTATTTTTTATTCTAAAGATTTAAATATTTTTAATTTCTCTTTTGCCTAAGAAGTTACAAAAATGCAAAATAATAAAATATTTAGATCTCTGTACTTATTGTTAAGCTTGCTTCTTACAAGCCGGTAGCCAACTTTGTAATATGGTCTCAAACAATTAAACAAAATTGCAGAAATTATTATAATGCTATGGAGATGACATAGCAGCAAGGAATTCCTCAAATGTCATAGGTTTAGAGTTTAAAATTATTAGGAGGAAAATGAGACTAAAATAATTGGTAATTTTTTAAATAAAAAGAACTCTTGCAATTGATAAAGAAAAAGGAAAACTAGAATCAAATGCATATGTTTAATGCAAACCATTATGTTAGAAGTCTGTTTGTGTGAATTTGTGTTAAAATTCATGAAAATTTCTCAGTATTACAGATCTCGATTTTATGAATGTGTTGGGTTGATACAGATGAAACTAGTGGTCTTGTATTGTGTTTTCATCATGTTGAATGATTATTCAAATTGATTTTTAAAAATGTTCCTTTTTTTAGATCCTTTTAGTGGGACAAATAAACACACATCTGATAAACCAAAGGGCCACGGCCATGAACAACATAAAATTGGAGAACAAGATGAATTAGCATCTGCGTGCACGCTGTGCAGTGTATCTGCATTGTCAACGCCTTCTTCTCCTACAGCACCACCTATTCCTGGTGTAGGTGGTGGTGGTGCTGTTGCTGGTACTGGTAGTGTTGCAGAATCTACTTCCAAAGTGGCAAATGCCCTTTCTCAGTCACCTGAATACGTGCGGAAAACGGCTCGTTTATTTGAAGGCTCTGAAAAACAGCAAGAACTGGTAAGCCATTTGAGAGTTCTAAAACCTCTTCCTTTCAAACAAATTTGGTTTGCTACATGCTATTGTAAACATTCCTTGTAACAGTATTAACTGATCAGTAGTAATTAAATTAATAAAGCATTTATTTCAGTTGCTTTTGTTATGAAATGAACTGACTGTTAAAATTTTGAAATTAAAAATACTTGAAGCGATCACCACCTTGTATGGAAATTTGTTTCACGGAACCGAAATCATTTTAAGCGTTCACCTGGCCCGTTGTCTGCCACCGGGATTATTTCAGAGAATAACCAAAGTTTGTTATGCTCAATACTCACAAAGGGCTAAGAGAATGTAGGGAAGAATATTGTGGAGTAAGTCCGTTAGCATATTGTATTTTTATCTCGAAACGTCGCAGTTTTATTCCTTTGGCCAGGGGCTTGGTGCCGTTAGCAACAGGGATTCCCAGACGGTTACCCGTCCAGGAATGGGGCGTCTCGAATTGCTTAACTTCTGTGACTTTACGGAGCGCAGGTAATGACTATCGGCGCCGGCGACATGTGGCGAGATTAATTTTGATCCTTAACACTATATACTGTAACATGCAAATATGCCCCTGGCAGGTATCAGCTATTCACGGTTTCATCCAATTGGGAGCTTGAACGTCACTAGTGACGTCACTATGGTGACGTTTAAGCTACCGATTGGATGAAACTGTCAACAGCTGATACTGCCAGGGGCAGACTTGAATACTCGCAGCATAACACATCATAGCGGAAGACTGATGGTTGTTCTACGTAGACTGTTTATTCAGCATCTTAGTGCGTCGGGATGTAATTAATCAGAACTGTGGTATGGAGTTGCCAATTTTGTAAGGATAATTAATTTGTTTCATCTGAAATCGATAAAAGATTTTCATGCATGCCCTGAAACTTATTTAATGTGAGAATTGCTACTGGTTAAAGTCTAGTTGGGAATGAAGTTAATGAATGGTAAGAAACTACTAGAAATGCGAAAAAGAAAAGTTGAAGATTTGTGTATTATATGCACACATGCAAAAAAGCTTGTTACAAAAATTAGTACTATATAATCGTTGTTGCAATATAATAAATATATTGCACATTGCAACAAGTGACACAACCCAAAATGTCAGGTTTTCCATAAATTACAAAAAGTTTGTGGCAATACTGAAACATTACTAAAACAAACAAATTTATCTTCAAAAATGAGAATGGATAATAAAACCAGGAGCAAATGGTGTATCAGTTATTTCTAGCATTAACCTCAAAGAACTGCCCTTCGTTTTAGTTAAGTCACTTTTAATGACTCATCAGACATGTAGCTGTTGATTATTTTCAGTTCTGACACTTTTCAAGAATAAAACATATGCATATGTCACTTTCGAGGTTCAATTTATCCTTATTGATAAAGTTTTATTTCAAATGAAGTTGCATGCGGATAGAACTCTCTGACCTAGATGCAACAGAATGAATGTCTCTTCTATCTCCTACAGAACTGTTAGTAGCAACGATTGCTCTTACTTCATTACAGAATTTCATTATGAATAATGCATTCCTATGACAATTTAATGCTAATGTAATGCTTAACTTAATTTTATTATGGCCTTCCTTTGCTTCTCGTCACTCGGATTTGTTTCATGTCTTCTTTTCCTTCAATACATTCCAGATTAGCAGATATATCCGTCCTCTGTATTATTGTGCAATATGACAGATAAACGCCACGATAAAACATCATTATTGTGCATGAAAAGGGAACGGGAAAGGAAATGTGTCACTTCTTAAGAATATACTCAAAATATATTAATATACTTGAAAACTGTCACACCTGAGAAAATAGAAAAGGTTTTCATAAATGAAGCAACAAAAATATCAATAATACATCATCCCAAGTAACAGAATTCACACTACAATCATCAGCATTCTGTTTACTTGGGAAGGCTACCAATGCTTCAATTAGAAAATGGCAAACTTTTTATGGCCAAAACATATAAATGGTTCATTTCAATTTATTAATTAAAACTGATGTAACTCAATTCCCTAAACAGATTCTTCAAAACCGACATAATCCAAATTATTTACGTTTTATGCTTGGATCAAATTAAATTACATGAATCAATTAAAGCGACACAATGAGAGAGAACAGTTTTTTCAATCCAAAAGACTGACAAAATTCATAAGTTTTGCACTTCTTAACGACGACTCGTTCACTGGTTCATTGTTCAACTAAAAATGCTATGCTGCTGTATGAGCAAGTTCGTGCTTCAAACAAGTAAAGTGACACAACCACCCTCTATTTGCCATATAGTGGAGTCATAGAAACGCACATTTGGTGACTGGTCAAGTACAGTTTCTGCAACTGTGTCATGGTAATAACTCAATAATGAAGATTTTTAGTTGTCACTTTTGTAACAAGGGTGTGATATGTACTAGTTCAATTACAAAGCACAAAATTAGGTCAATATTCACTACCTATGTTATTATAACTTCAATTAAGCAGCCTCCTGTCCTAACCACTGCTCTTTTCTGGCACCATGAGTTAACACAGTTAACCACTTAAACAGTATATTTCATTGCACATGCCTGAATTCTTAACAAACTTCTTCAATTTTAATTTGGAAGTTATGAAGTTAACTTATTTGCAGGGAGCAGGCTTTACATTTAAAGTAAAGTTTGTTTCAATGAACTTAATTTTAAAACCTAACTTGTCTAAATAAATGTATTAATTTCTGTTTCTAGATTAAAGTGTGTTCGTTTTGTCTTCTAGGAAGAATCTGACTTCTTAAACATTCCAGCTGCAAAAAAGCCATCATACCTTGGCCTAGCTTGTTCTTTAAGTGGATATAGTGGACTAACATCGTACGACAGTAAACTGCGGGAAGGATTTCGTACTCGTGATAAAAGTCCTGCTCCTCCTCCACCTCGACCTCTTACTACCAGCAGCATGTCCAAAACCTCTCCACCCACTGTAAATGGAATTGGGTAAGTAAATAAAATGTTCTGTCATAGTAATTAAATTACTATTAGTTTGTAATGATTTTAAATGAAAAATCCCTAAGACTACTATTATGTAGTAATAATTGCATAACATACTATTGAAGATTAGTCATACTCATTCCTGAACATGGGAGGGATTTGTGTATGGCCTTTTCCTCACATTTCCTGGCTAGGTGATTTTCCTTTAACGTCCAGTAAAAACATACATAGTATAGGATTTGTGTTGCACTGGATGATGTTGTGGTGATGAGAAAAAGTAGTAGTAGTAGTAATAATAATAATAGTAGTAATAATAATAGTAGTAATAATAATAGTAGTAATAATAATAGTAGTAATAGTAATAATAATAGTAGTAATAGTAGTAATAATAGTAGTAATAGTAATAATAATAATAATAATAATAATAATAATAATAATAGTAATAATAATAATAGTAATAGTAATAGTAGTAATAGTAGTAATAGTAATAATAATAGTAGTAATAGTAATAGTAGTAATAGTAATAGTAGTAATAGTAATAGTAGTAATAGTAGTAATAGTAGTAATAGTAGTAATAGTAGTAATAGTAGTAATAGTAGTAATAGTAATAGTAGTAATAGTAATAGTAGTAATAGTAATAGTAGTAATAGTAATAGTAGTAGTGATTATACATTTTTATTTTATATTTAAATTACAATACAGCTTTGAAATTAACCGACACCGACCATGCATGCATGCACCCTGTATTAACTGGGGCTCAGAAACATTACCTTGGTTAGCCGGTATATGTAATTTTTATCAGGGGATCAGCATGTAGCTGGATCAGATTTTTATTCCCCAGGGTTGTTAGCCCTGGGATACAGGATGATGATGATGATGATGATGATGATGATGATGATGATGATGATGATGATGATGATGATGATGATGGGTGAGACCGACACACAAATACACCCATGCCCCAGGCAGGACTCGAACTCTCAATCTTCTGGTCCAAGACCACTTCAGCACTGCGGCCTTAGCGATCTTGGCTATCTGATCAGCATTACTTTCATTTTTTATATTTTTTTATTTTCATTTATTTTTTATCACTTATATTTCATTACTAAAATACTGTTATTACAAAGGGTGATGATTCAGGAAGGAAATTGATGTGAGAAGTAAGCTACACTACAACCACATAGTGAGAAATTTCTTGCACAAGTTTTAAACCACAGACTTTTGCTTCACATTCTTTCTATAAATTTTCTTGATTAGCTTATTGTCAATAAATGTGATTCCTTTATTTAAAGTTAGAGCGTATATAAAATGAAGTATTAATTTTGATTCCTCAAACACTTTTGCCTAATTATTAGTTATGTTCAAAAATGCAAATCAAGATAGCAATGAACCATGGAGTTATGGACTGTGGATGGACATGGTTTCTAAATAGGTTTTGAAGTGTTTGATGTGACAGTTAGTGCAATGATCTTCATTTATTGTATGGTAGACTTTAAATCTATTTGTTCAGTTAAATGTAGAGAGAAATTGCATTTTTTAATACGAATTGTGGCCCTGTTCAATACATCTTGCCAGCTTATGTGGCTCAAAGCATCAACTTACGTCACTACAGTGCTGATAAGATCCTATGGTTTGAGTTCCAACCAGGGTAAGATTTCAGACACTTGTTAGACAGATAGGTCAAATTCTGCTGCTGTGTCGAGGAAACTAGTGGCAAGCTGTTCCGATCAGTAGTTTTCCTTGATCTCTTATCAACACCAGGCAATTACCCCAGTAGTACCTTAACAAGCCAGCCTTTGACTGCATGTCATATCCTCACCTCTTACTTACACACACTTACACTTGCACACCACACATGATGGGGAAACCAGTTGGGAGTTTATAACTTGTCTCAGCTGGGCCAGTGACCTGCTGTTGGGAGATACCTTGTTGATGAAAACCCTACAAGCCACTGTGGAGGTCGGTACTGAATCTCGCCATCTAGTAGGAGTAGTATCACTACCACCTCCTAAGATAAAACTGCATTATGCACTGTACTTATGGACTAATGACCATAGTATTTGGCACGTTTAGAAACACATAATCAATCAGTCAAGCTCATTAAATCTTTCACTTCATATGTTTTTCTAATGATGGACTTGTGTTTCAAAACAAGATCTTTAACTGAGAAAGTAGTCCCTTTTTTTTCTTTTTTTTTTTTTTCTTTTTCTTTCTTTCTTTCTTTCTTTCTTCTTCTTCTGCTTATATTAGGCTTCTGAAGAATTGTAGTCTTGCTTTCTTAATGATAGTACACCTGTTGTTGGTGGTGTTATTGTTGAAATAACAGCAAGAAAAATTAGTTTTAAAATTTTGTTTTCATTTTTTTGTGCAGCAGCGGATCCACAACAAATGGCATGCCAACAGTAAGCCCACGATCGACTCGTGGAACAACGGACATGCTCAATGGGAGAATATTCGAGGATAGGAATCAACAACCATCAAGTTCCAAAGAATTAGGAGCTTCTACTCTAAGGGAATCATCTCGACAATTCATGTCAACCATGTTGTCTGATGAGGTGGATTATGCTCATGTAAGTTGTTCAGTTATAGTTTTTAATTAAGAAATTATAATTATTTTTGTACCACAAATAATTGCTTTCTCTTCAGAACAGATGATAAAACACTTTGCCATCTGTTTAAAAATGAGAAGTTCATTTTCTTACTGATTTAATCTTTTGTGACTATCCTGGTTATAAATTCAAATTCAATAATGGAAAGGGAAATAAGCATTGCTAAATTTGAGTTATGGTTATAATGGATAATGGCATATGTAACTGGTGGAATGGCATGCCTCACTACTTTGTGTGTGTGTTTTGGCAGAAGATAGAAACGTATATACACAAATATAATTATAGATTTCTTGTTAAACTCTGATTTTATAATGAAATTAAAATGTAAATGAATGAATAAATGTTTATTGCTCCCAAACCCAGCTTTTGGGAACTTTTAAAAGTACCAGTTTTGAAAGTTATCCCGAAATTGTATTTTATTGTGCAGAGACAGTGAATAACCGTTTGTAGTTTGAAGACCTGATGCTCTCTGTTCCTAATTACTTATAATAATTTTGTTGAATTTGGTGAAAATGTAAGATTGTAATTTTCATCCTTTGTACCAGTGCAATACCTATCTTCTCATTGATCATAGTCCATCTGAAGGTTTAGATGTTCAAAAACTAAAGTTTTATAAAAATAAGTTATAAAGATTTTAATAAATCTTTTTAATTTCTATTTAATAAAATACAAACAAAACAGCTTAAAATTATATCAATGTAAAGTCTGAATACTAGACAACGTGTTCATTGATAAAATAAGAAAAATATTAACCATTGAAAAATTAAGTTCCTATGAAGTGCTAACATTTGTTTTATCTTATTAATTTTGTCAATCAATTACCTTCTAATTTTGCCAAAATTTGCAGCAAAACAAAAAGTTATCTATTACGTAAATGTATTATACTAAGACAGGTTTACTTTCTACAATGATGGAATTGATGGTTAAGTACTTGCAAGATGCAGACGGTATTGAATAAATTGCTGGTTACTTGAACCAGAGTAAAATGTTTAAAGATATTCCTCATTATGAAATTTTTAATCCTTGTGAATTTTTTGTATTATAGTTATTTATGCGTTACCTTCTCGTGAATGTTTAGTTTCCATTGAATTATTGTAACTAGATGTTGTAATGCCTTCAGAACACTTATGGTAAAGAATAGATTAAAATCACTTATATAACTTCACGTGCTTTCTAAAAATAAAAATAAAAATTCCATTGCTGCTGTTAAGAACTTGCGTATCTTTTTACCGGTCAATTTGGTAATATCGTTACTCCCTCCTCACAAAAATAATTCTAGACTTCCCTTCATAGTGATAGGTTTGATTTGAAAATTTAAAATTTGACATTACCAGGAAAACTTCATTTGGTTGTTTTTCTGTGCTGGCCATAGTGGCAGCCAGGCAGTTTCTGCTGTATTTAAGCGCCTTGTATCACATGAAAAAAGGTTTAGAAACCTTTGTTTGTGTTTGCCAACAGTGCACACGGATGTTAAACGTTACGCATTCTCTTGGACCCTCTCCTACCACACCAAAAGATACTTTAAATTCAAGCAACAGTTCACATTATGCCCTGAAAAGATCCCCAGGAACTGTTAGAGTTGTTGAGTTTACTTCACAAAGCAAGAGTTATGTTAGTGCCATTGTGTCATCAACTTCTTCGAGAACATCAATTCAGGTAATAATCGAAGGACGAGATATTCCACTGGTATCTTTCAGAGCATGGAAATGAAAGATTCAGAATTCTGACTATGCTTTTTGCAGGAGAAATAAATACTTTCTTGTTTGAAAATCAATGTAGGCATCTTGGTGATGGCATGTGGTGGTCTTGTGGTCATCTTTTATGGTCTTGAAAATTCCTGGTTATCAGCTTTTCTAAGAAATGATTATTATATTTTGTCTCTGCCTGCTGTATTCTTGAACTTTCATGAAGTAGATTATTCTCGTTTATCAATTTCAACTTTGTAACTTTCTTTTGCTTTAAGCTAACTTTTCCAATAAAGAGTAATTAAAAAGCAACTGCATGTTCTAGAATAGTATATACATTTAAAAACATTGTGCATTTTTACAGTTTCCCTAACACAGTAGTGAAATATCGAAAAATTGTTTGCAAAAACTTTAGACATTTTTAAAACTAGTGCATTAGAATATTCTGCAAATAATAATGTGAAGTATTGTAGGGAGTGGAGTGCCGGTTCATGTCCCATGTTGTCACTCTTGGTGTCCTTCATTTGTTCGTACATACTACTAAAACATTGCAACTCTAATGATGCATGTGCAAATGAATTTGAAAGGTTTGCGCGACTAAGTTCTCGTGTATAATTAAATGTACAAAATACATTAGTCATTAGATGAGTTTCCATTCATGCAGTTTGGAGTGAGTGACACTTAACATTAGACAGTGATTTATCTTTACTTCAAAGGAGTTGTTGGGCAAGGATGCATGTGAAAATAAATAATAGAGGATTGGTGTGGGAAAATTAATTTTCATTTTTTACGTATTTCTGAAATGTTTTAGCACTGAAGTTACCATTCATTATTCTAGTACTCTATAGTAAAGTTTTCAGTGTCCCCTCTTTGCTGTGGCCAGCTTGTGAACTCCACATAGCCCTTATAAAATGTAACGATCATAAAAAAATCCCTGAAAATGCAATGGCCATAAATTTTGAAATCTTGTCTTTGTATTGTGTTAAATTACGAAAATATTTAGTAGCAGCCTCAGACTAATTGAAGGACAGTTTTATTATCTGTCTATTGAAGGATTTTCAGTATAAATTATCCCATCGAGATAACTTGCCAGACTATATCAATAAAACCCATCCCTTGGGAACAATTACATGCAGCTTCATTCTTCAATGAGCTTTAAAATTTTGAATTCAAAATTTATAATAAAAGAAATGTGTAGGGTATTAAATCTGAAAATAGTATAGCTTCTTCATAACCAGAAGATATGTTATTGTTAGAGTATTTAATGTTACAATTTGAGATCCAGTTCTACATGGGTAAGTAGCATTCTTAGACCTTGTAAATATTCAATAATTGTCTTCAATGTGTTCAGCAGAGGTTGATGGTAATAATAATGGTAATGTCTGTGTGTGGTATTCATAAAATTGTGTATGTATTTTTCACCAGACTGAATCTACAGAATTCCATCAGTATTCATCTGAAATTGTTGGTGTAAATGGTGCTGATGCTCAACAGGACACTCCAAAACCATCACGTTCTCCTCATACTTCACGTTTAGATACAGAATCTGCTGTTCCGGCAGGATACTGCACCCCGAAGTCATTTGTACAGCAACGAATAGAAAGACTTTATGGCCCTGGTGCTCTTGCACAAGGATTCTTTTCTCGCACAAGACAACAGTCATTAACTGAAGAAGAGTCATCACCTCAGGTAAAACTAATATTACAATTTGATCTTTGGTAAACGTATCATACTTTAATAAAAATTACTGATACAACAAACATTATAAAAATAATTTGTTTAAAATGTTTTGTAAAAGTATCAACAGAAGCCATACTATTCCTCATTTTTTTTTAATCATTTTTAAGATTTTTATTCTTCACGTCTGTAGGATACCCCAGTGGGGGTTAAAAAAAACATTATCTTCCTAGAAAGTGCAAATTGAGTCTGCGTGACTTGCTGGGCAGTGTTGTGGTGCCACCCTTCAAAGATTTTCATTTTAATAAAGTGGAATGGTATTAATCAGTGTATTTGTGTGGTACAATAGCACATTTATTTCGATGCTTCATAAAATGTAGACAAAATTTATGTATAAATGGATTTACTTAAAATGATGGTAACAAAACATTTTTTTGAATAAACAGTATGATTTAGAGTTCACTCCTTTTTTTAAAAAAATTTAAATAACTTCTTAATAAGATTCTTTTTAGATTGATAATTTATTCAATGAATCCGTATTGACATCAAGAATTTTTTGTAGCAGAGAAACTTATTAAAACTTCATTCAAAAATTTTTTTTTTATTTTAATTCTTCTTTAACAACACAGAATTCATTTAAATGTTTGACAATTATATGGATGTTAAAAAATAAGGTGAAATCTTTTAGTTAATATTGTTGGTATTTAAATAAAAAATTTAAAAAGGCGATCTCAAACATTAAAATTTTAGCAAAGAATGTTAGAGCAAACGCAAATTAATAAAATTTATATAAATTTCAGAAAACCTTATACAAATTTCAGAAAACCTTATACAGGGTCTTTATCTTAACTTGCAACTCATGACTGTCAGCAACTGTTCTTGTTTTGGCGCTTTGGCAACCGTGTCTCTTCGCTTACTTTCGAGGCAGCCGTGGCTGCGACTCGATAGAGCAGAGGTAGTGAATGCAAGGTCATAAGCTGCAGTAACTGTCCTCTTTCTGTGTTTTTCCCATTTAAGAGTTTATGGGAGTTGGTACGCGGCTCACATGCCAAAACTCTTTTCAGACTGCGCATGGTGAGTGGGGTGCGATGGTTTGACACACAAGTGGGCAAACAAGCTTCAGGTGATTCTGTCCAGTATGCTTAAGAAACAAAACTAATATGAAGGTGTTACGACTGATTTATCGATTTATTAAGAGCAAGTAACAATAATTATTATGTCATGAAAACCGGCTCGGGGAGAAATCGAAAAAAAAATCTCCTGAAACATTACCACCAAGCTATTCATTTTTATAATAATAATAATAATAATAATAATAATAATTAATTCGTTATTGTTATTATTATTTTGTTTTTGTTATTATTGTATTGTTATTATATTGATGTTATTATTGCAGACTGTGGGGTGTAAAAATGGACTAAGCAGAAATGCTGTTCCCCCCAATAAATTCATTTGCATGCCCCCAGGAAAAACATGAGTGGGCCTTGGTGGGTACAAGTACACAGTTTTGTGGTCTGTAGATGGCCAATCAGGGACAATAAAATGATGATGATGATAAAAACAAACTTGCAAATTAATAATAATGGAGCCAGCAAATTAAACAAATAATATCTTAAGAAAATAAATAAACATATTAATATAGTATAAATAAGTAGTAAATCAATAATTATTGAAAATGATTTTTAAAAAATAAGAAAATATTATTCCCTTAAAATTACAATAAAATGACCTTGGTATAAATGTCCAAAGTGACTACCGTTTGCCTAGACACATTTACTCTGTTCAGTGTAATGGCTTTAACATGTTGAAGAGTAACAAGGACAGAATAAGTACTTTTGCTTTCTTCCAACTAAAATTAACCACATTCTTCCATCCCATAATCTGGGAGGATGCAACCGGGGGTCGCTAAAAGTGAAAGGGATGCCGGAGGTATTTTACGTGTTACCAAACTGCCAAATTTTCTTGGTGGTGTTCAGACTTTGGTTGCGAGTTAGAGTAAAGACTCGGTATTTAGATGTTAATGAAGAATATTAATCCTGATTTGAATTAAAAATGTATGCTTCATTATTGATGCAGAATTTGGTAAAAAAGATTATCGAAGTTACTCCAATCTGGTATCATGTTTAGTCTTGATACTAGCTGTATTAATTTGGCGTTAAATTGGTTATAAAATGTTTAATTAGTTACAAAACACACTGCCCACTTTTGTAATTATTCATTTTATTCATGAATAAAAAGGCCACTTTGGGAAATATTTATGAGTAGAATAGTTTTGTTGTTTTTAAATCCATGAATAAGGATTCAGGAAAGGCAAATATAAAACTTTTTTTGCAGATTTGCCCTATAAAATTGCCAATGTTTCTTCTTGAATAATTTATCAGGGTGCTGATACAAGTGGAACCAGCTCTGCCGGAAGTCCAGCACTGCCAGTTTTGAGACATTTAAGACCAGAGTTTCGTGCACAACTACCTCTCACGCCAGCTAGCACGATCAGAAGTCCTCGTCGCATTCAGAGAGAGTTACCTAGGTGAGAAAAGTATTTAATGAAAGGACAAGAAAGAGCTACAGAGGAAAGTCCTTGGGACTTTGTGTCAACTTATTGTTTATATCATAAAGAGAATTACGAAATTTAAAAATCAAAAGTTTTTTCACAGTCTTAAAATTTGTATGAAACAGATTTTCAAAATGAAGTTCAGGATAGCAATTCATATTGGACTCTATATTAATGGATGGAAACTGATTAAAATAATTAAAATCAATTTTTATATATGTGCATTTCTGAATATCTGCATTTGATATTCCTTCATAGTATATTTAATGTTTCCTGACACTGCAGCTACAATTTCACAAGTCTTCATTTGCAAATGATAATTAAATTAAAATCCTTGTTCAAACTTCCAAAAAAATTCAGAACAGCAACTGCTAGTATCTACTTCAGTCCAATGAGAATCCTTCCAATGGTATGATTTTTTTTTTTTTCTCTCTTTTTATTTTGTTTCTCTTGAATTGGTGAAGTAAGAATAAGGGGCTCCCAAATTAATCTAGGCTCAAGAGCTCACCATGCTGATAAATTGGCCCTGTCAAAAACGATTATCCTTTTCTCTCACCCTCCCCCCCAGAGGAATCCAATCATGATTCTGTTATGGATGTTTTCCTCGCGATTTTTTTTATTAACCATTGATAACAATAGTGTGAACACTGACATTGTAACAAATTTTTAAATCTTCATTTGCCTATCAAATTGTGCGGGAACTTTGTTCTCCTGGAGGGAATTATTATTATTATTATTGTTATTATGATTATTATTGTTATTGTTATTATTATTGTTATTATTATTGTTATTGTTATTATTATTGTTATTGTTATTATTATTGTTATTATTATTGTTATAATAGTGATTGTGTGACTTTTGACACTGCATCTTTGGCAATAATATTTGAGCAAATATCTTCTAAAAGTGTTTGTTCAATCTGACCTTTCGAAAAGATGTTTCAAAAGGGCATTAAGAAATTAGAAGAAATTTCAGAGATAACAGCATCTTGGACGAATACAATGATAACAGGTTTAGCTCCAAAACGAGTGTTCTGCAAATTATATTGAAGTTTCTTAATGTTGGTTTTAAATTTTATTACAGTTAATATTTAACCCATTTGACCTTACTAAATGGTCATGAATACAGCAATGATCTAAATATGTTGAGGAAATTTAATTAATATTTTTCAGATCTTAACACTACAGTCATATCTTGAATAACATTTTAAACAATCTGTTCTATTACATCCTTGTTGGATGTGTGCCCATGGGTGTTACACAGATTGTTGTTGACAGATAAATTCATACCTTTGAAAATCAGCATATTGGACCAAGAATGGCTTTATATTTTCGATGTATTATTTTTCATTGCTTGTTAAATATGTTATGCTTTAAAATATAGGTAAATAATAAAAGTAATGTAGAACTAACAAAAAATACTTGTGTAATGGGCTGGGAGTACTTGTGTGACCATATGGTTACCTAGGCCTTTGGATACATACAATTTTATATCAGGTCATTTGAAAGTGTAAATGTGAACTGTCTATGATCATGACTATGGCAAGCCAGCAGAAGTGTTCATAGATGATTTAGATAAACTCGGGGGAAAAAACTTGAGGTATCAAGTTTGGGGGGGGGGAATGGGATTGGTCTGTTTTCACCTGGCTCTTAGATGCTGATATTCAAAATGTGCGGGTACTGTGCAAAACGTCTTTAGGGCAATCAATACCAAATCTTTACTTCAGAAGATAGGTTGTCACTTCTTAACTAACTCATATGTAGTTCTCTTGAGAGGTTCTGAAAGGGCCACAATTGCTCTAAGAAATTTGGCACTCAATAGAATTTTTGATGATATTTATGATGATGATTTATGATCAAAATCATTTGATTCAACCTGTACCAAATCAGAAGAGGAGGCAGATATGCTGGAAAAGTATGTTCAAGTGTTGGTAGAGCAGAAAGTTCTAAATGTAAAGTAGAAATGTGTGTTCAGTGTTTTGTAATTTTTCATAAGAAAGAATTTCATATCTTCTAAAATATGTTATTTGTTATCGTAAAGGACTAGCTTGACTGTACAGTAACGTTTTTTCTCTATAGAACTTAAAAAATAGATTTTAAACAAATTTCATGGATTCATATCCTTTTTAATTTTATTTTTAAACTAAATTTAAACATATTGTTCATTAAAAAATCAGTCATTAAACGAACAAACCTCTTTATATTTTGCCCTTAAAGTGCCTGTATTTAAATTATTGTTTGCATCGGATCACAACCCTCTATATAATGCAATTTCTCCAGAAAATAGATTTTTACCTTATTACATTTCTGATAAGATCAACGTTATTTTTCAGTGAACTATTAGAAAGTGTTGTGATTCTTCTGAGCCAAACAATCATGAATGTTTTTTTATTTCTAGAGAAATATTTCAAACTGGTCATAGTGACCACACTTTGTTTGTGACTTATATAGCACTATAGTGCTGAAGGGTCAAGAAGTACATTTGAAAAATATATATTAAGCTAAGTGATGTGATAGTAACTACAGATAATTTCATGTTCTCTCTCTCTCTCCCCTCGTGTCTCTCTTCTTTCCTTGTTCATTTAACATTTCAGACATTCTTCACACTAACATATTCAATACATGCACTTAATAGGTCAGAAATGTCAATTCAACTCTTCAATAAATATAATTCTGATATTAAATCTGTGTTATTGGAGAAGTTGGAAAATATTTGTAAATATCAAACACCACAAATAAATCCTGATTTGTGTGCCTTGCAAATCTTTTTCAACTTATTTTCAACATACCTTTAAACATATATAAAGGTCATGGTGTTGGTGTGTGTGTATATTTGTATGTTGCTTGTATTTGTTGTTACCAAGATAGACTGGAACTGTCAAACATTCCATTATTTTCTTTTTTCAGTTCACTTGAGTCTCCAAATACTCTTCCAATCTTGCAGCAGCAGACCTCTGTGGAAAGTATCTCTGATTCACAACCAGCTGCTCCTGAAGTGCCTGTTTTAGTGGGAGATAGTCTACCAGTAGCAAGTGCACTTTCCTCTGGAGAAGCTCTGATGTCTCCATTGTTGTGCAAAGAAGTTGGCAGTTCTATAAAACATGATCAACCTACAAATATATCTCGCGGAGATGCCACACAAGGAGAAACATTCCCAGTGCAGCCACCTGCTCATGACAAAGCAGAATTGGTTACAAAAGAAGAAGAAAAAAATGGTCACTATTTCTTACAAGTATGTTGCTTTTGTTACTATTGTGTAGCATCCTAGACTGTTGATATATTCTAAGTTGGGTCTACAATTATTAAAAAAGTAATTTTTATCGTAATAGATTTATTGATGTAATGTGAAGCCACGTGGATAAATTTTATTATACATTTATTATCCAACATTTCAAGTTCATATTTCTCTCCTTATCAGGCTGAAGTATGCTTCTACGTTTTTCAACCTTAATAAAGAGAAGAGCGTGAACTTTAAACATGTGCTATATTAATATGCAAATAAGTTTGATTTCTTTGTACGTCAATAAACAGAAAATAGAATTCAGCTCTGTTTGGGGTCTTTTTTAATCTTGGTTTTGCAACATTTTGAAAATTATTCATATGAACTTCTTCTTGTAGATATGCTATTTACATGCAGTTTTACATATGTTGTAATCTTTTCAGTTTTCTAAGTTAGTTTCTTTCTTCGAAATAATTTGATTTTTATGTGGTTGGAATAAAAAATGCCACATTTGACATGTAAATTATGAGAAAAATTCTAAAAATGTTCCATTTAAGTTTTTGTAATTCGACATTGTGGTTTTTTAGTGATGTGTCTATTACGATTTGGTAGCCCTGTTTAAAACATTCTTGTGCTAGTAAGATGGATGTATAGTTATGAGGATATACTAGAATGTTTTTCTGGAAATAACATTATTTTTTTGTAACGTACAAGTAAGTAAATAGTTTTGCTTTCTCTATTAATAATTCCAAATAATATTTCATCATCAACTACTTGTCGTTCATTATGTAATACTTTTGGGGTCAAAAAAGACTCCAGAGTCCACATAAGTATTTGAGAAACCGTCGAAGGGTTAATTCACTGACTCTTATTTATGCTGAATTTTTCCCTGCTGGTGTATACCCCTTAATAAAGGGGAAGATGAGGCATTTTTTCCCATTGTATCCCAATACAGGTAGGAGGTAAAAAAGGAAAACAGAATGGAAAGGGTAGATTTGAAGTGGTCCATGCTGCACCTGGTATATGCTGAGATGTGATCAGGAAAGCTACATAAACCACTGCTAAGTCATCCTTGGAATTAGCTCCAACAAGCTTCACAAACTCATCGATGTTCAACACCTCTAACAAACTTTTTTTTCTAGCATCTTACCCAAGACCTCCCAACACTGATTGTTCATCTAATTGTGTAATGGCTAAAAAGTTAATTTTATTTTTAAAACTTTCCAGGTTCTGAGATCTGAAATTCAGCGACTGTCCAAGTTGGTGGAATCCGCAGAAACAGAGCTGGAAAACAACAACAGTCTACCAGAAGAAGCCCAGGGAAAGTTGAGAGCTGCATCTGGACAAGCTAGATTGTTGATGAAACAAAAACTACAGCAATTTGAGGGACTGTGTCATAAAAACATTGTGAGTGTGTCTATAGTCACTGGTGTGTAATAATAGTGCAAATTAGAGCGGTAATTCCTAAGTGGTGTTACTTCAGTCGTATTTAAGGAGGGGGAGAGGGACGTGCTCTAATATTATAAAAACTAATATTTCACGAGGGTGATGCCCCCATGGCAAATTAAAATGCAAATATAAAACTGCAATTAGATGCATTACGTGATTTGCAAAAGGTATTGAAAGCACGTTTTTTACCTGTAACAAACACCATACTTAGAAGATTAACTTCTCAATGACTCGTCAACCATTTTAGTCCATCGGAATTTAATTTCTTGCAAGAAATTAGATAAACCTTATTTAGAGGAACTATGTCCATAATGGCATAATTTTGTCCTTTTGAATTTATTTTCCATTCTTTAGTTTTCTTTCCTTCCCGTTTTCTTTCTTTCTCTCCTTCCTTCCCGTTTTCTTTCTTTCTCTCCTTCCTTCCCGTTTCTTTCTTTCTCTCCTGTCCTTCCCGTTTTCTTTTCTTCTCTCCTTCCTTCCCGTTTTTTTCTTTCTACTCGTTTCCTTCCCGTTTTTTTCTTTCTCTCCTTTCCTTTCCCGTTTTCTTTCTTTCTCTCTTCCTTCCCGTTTTCCGTTTCTTCTCTCCTTCCTTCCCGTTTCTTTCTTTCTCTCCTTCCTTCCCGTTTTCTTTCTTTCCCCTTCCTCCCGTTTTCTTCTTTCTCTCCTTCCTTCCCGTTTCTTTCTTTCCTATCCTTCCCGATTTTCTTTCTTCCTTCCTTCCCGTTTTCTTTTCGTTCGCCTTCCTTCCCGTTTTCTTTCTTCCTTCCCGTTTTCTTCCTTCCTTTCTTCCTTCCTTACGCTTTCGTTCGTTCCTTCTTCGTTCGTTCGTTCCTTCCTTCGGTTCGTTCCTTCCTTCCTCGTTCGGTTCCTTCGTTCGTTCTTCCTTCGTTCGTTTCTTCCTTCCTTCCTTCGTTCGCTTCCTTCCTTCTTCGTTCCTTCCTTCGTTCGTTCCTTTCCTTCTAGTTTCGTCCTTCCTTCGTTCGTTCCTTCCTTCGTTCCTTCCTTCCTTCCTTCGTTCCTTCCTCCTTCGTTCCTTCCTTCCTTCGTTCCTTCCTTCGTTCCTTCCCTGTCGTTCCTTCCTTCGTTCCTTCCTTCCCTTCGTTCCTTTCCTTCCTTCGTTTCCATTCCTTCCTTCGATTCCGTCCTTTCCTTCGTTCCTTCCTTCGTTCCTTCCTTCCTTCCTTCCTGTCGTCTTCCTTCCTTTCGTTCCTGTCCCTTCGTTCGTTCCTTCGTTCGTTCGTCGCTTCCTCGTTCTTCCTTCCTTCGTTCGTTCCTTCCTTCGTTCGTTCCATTCCTTCGTTCGTCGTTCCTTCGTTCGTTCGTTCCTTCGTTCGTTCGTTCCTTTCGTTCGCTTCGTCCTTCAGTTCGTTCGTTGCCTTCGTCCGTTTCCTTCCTTCGTTCGTTCCTTCCTTCGTGTCCTTCGCTTCTTCGTTCCTTCCTTCCTTCGTTCGTTCCTTCCTTCCTTCGGGTCCTTCCTTCCTTCGTGTCCTTCCTTCCTTCGTTCCTTCCTTCCTTTCGTTCCTTCCTCCTCGTTCCTTCCTTCCTTCCTTCGTCCTTCCTTCCTTCCTGCGTTCCTTCCTTACCTTTCCTTCCTTCGTTCCTTCCTTCGTTCCTTCCTTCCTTCCTTCCTTCGTTCCTTCCTTCCTTCCTTCGTTCCTTCCTTCGTTCCTTCCTTCGTTCCTTCCTTCGTTCCCGTTTTCTTTCCTTCTTTCTTTGTTTGGTTCTCTTGTATAGAATTTAGCATTTACTTCTTCAAATAAATTTATAATCAATTGAGAATTACAAATAAAAATATTACATTAATTTAAAATACAATACTTACAATTTAAAATATTTTATCATCTCTATCATGTCTATTCTTCTTCTGAATAGAATCAGAGCCCTGATGAAGTCTTCCCAACTACATCCCAAGATTTAGCTGGATTTTGGGATATGGTAAAGCTGCAAGTAGACCACGTGGATAGATTGTTTGTAGAGATTGACCACCTGAAGAGTTGTGGATGGGTGGAGGTAAGTCTTTGTAAGGTCTTCTATTAATATTATCTAACATTGTTTACATTTAAAACCACATTTATTATTATTACAAAGAAAACTTCAATTTGTTTGCATTCTAAAATAATGTTCAGTTTAAATTTGTAATATTGGTCACAATAAAATAGTTACAGCACATAAATTTGTTAGTTTTCTATTTACTCAATTCATATTACATTTATGTAAATTATAATTTAAATGTGCTTTCAGGCTGCCAATGAAAATCCTGGAGGCAGTGTGGGGATTAGTACTACTTCTGCTGGAGCACGTCGCAGAACTGCTGGTCGACGATCTACCCAAAGTTCAGTTGGAGGAAGTAGGTCGAAAAGTGGCGCAGAAGATCCAAAAAAAGGCGAAGGTGCTCGTAAAAAGGAAGAACTGGCACAAGCAAGGAAGCGTATGATGGAGGAGAAAAGGCGCATGTTGAAACAACAGCAACAACAAGCAAAAGAACAGGAGAACATTGAAATTTTTGTGCCACATGAAAATGGAAAATAGCAGTGGTAATGGTACGTAATAGAATTACATCTGAGATAAACATGTTTGTTATGTAACAATTTTGCAGTCACACACACACACACACACACACACACACACA